TCTCCTTCCCCCTCCTCTCGCAGTCTGTGGGAGACCAGTCGTCCCCATTGCCCGGAACCCAGAGGCTTCTGGATCTTGGCGAGCTGAGCTGGGCAACTTCCCGTGGCAAGCCTTCACCAGCATCCACGGACGCGGGGGCGGAGCCCTGCTGGGCGACAGATGGATCCTGACTGCTGCCCACACCGTCTACCCCAAGGACAGCGTCTCCCTCAGGAAGAACCGCAGTGTGGAAGTGTTTCTCGGCCACACAGACGTAGACGAGCTGCTGAGACTGGGGAGCCACCCTGTGCGTAGGGTCGTGGTGCACCCAGACTACCGCCAGCACGAGCCCCACGACTTCACCGGGGACATCGCCCTGCTGGAGCTCCAGCACCGCGTCACCCTGGGCCCCAGCCTCCTCCCGGTCTGTCTGCCCGACAGTGAGACGCTCTACCGCCGCGGCCTGGGGGGCTACGTCAGCGGCTTTGGGGTGGAGAATGGCTGGTTAACTACCCAGATGAAATACTCGAGGCTGCCTGTAGCTCCCCGGGAGGCCTGCGAGGCCTGGCTCCTCCAGAGGCAGCGGACCGAGGTGTTTTCTGACAGCATGTTCTGCGCTGGGGACGAGGTTCAGAGGAACAGTGTCTGCCAGGGGGACAGCGGAAGCGTCTACGTGGTGTGGGACAATCGCACTCTCCGCTGGGTGGCCACAGGCATTGTGTCCTGGGGTATCGGGTGTGGCAAGGGGTACGGCTTCTACACCAAAGTGCTCAACTATGTGGATTGGATCAAGAGGGTGATGGAGGGTAAAGACTGAGCCGGGGGGGCCTGAGCACCCCCGGGGGGCTGAGCACCCCAGGAGGGCTGAGCACCCCAGGGGGGGGCCTGAGCACCCCAGGGGGAGGCCTGAGCACCCCCGGGGGCCTGAGCAGTGCACCAGCACTGTGGAGGTCCCAACCAAGAATGAGCAGGAGTGAAGATCCACTTGCGGCTGGGGAACCCTCTTTAAGTCACTGACTCATCAACCCCTCCTCCCCTGAACCCACACCATCCCAAATCAGAAGCAGCCCCCCCTGCCCCCTTCTCACCTTCAGCTCTCCCGGGTTTTGCGCCAGGGAAGCCCTGTGCATCTAAGCAACGTTTGCTTAGGACCTCTTTTTGTTTGTTCGAGGCAGGATTTCACTCTGTAGCCCAGGCTGGCCTCAAACTCACGGCAAAGATCCTGCTTCAGGCTACCCAGACTCGGGGATTATAAGCATGCGCAGTTAAACCTGGCAGCACGACCGCGTGCGTCTTTTTGAATCCCCTGCCTCATCTAGTGACAGTTTCCTCTGCATTTACTGAGGAACAGCCGTTGTCTCCTTCAAATGGAGTGCGGAGGAAAGGGTCTTAACGCATTGTGTCCCTGAACTATTCCAGAGACCTTATGTTCACCGTGAAATGTTCGGAGCAGTTGGCTTCACCACCTATCACAACTCTTAGATGCAATTACAGTAAAACCTCCTTTTTCATCCTGCATCTACTTGGCAGGCCATCACCTCTTATCTCACTTAATCCTGACACCATGCTGGCCAAAAGATGTGTCAGCCGTTATCCACGTCTCACAGTGAGGAGCTGGGGAAGACATGCAGTGCATTTCCCACAGCTGGCTCCTGACTGAGGCCACACTCCTCCCAGCTCCCCGGCAGGGATGCCTCTCAGCTGCCCTCAAGACCTACCAGTCACCCACATCCCCTTCTGGGCCCCACAGCTTCACGGAACTCCATCCTCTGAGAAGGCCTGCTTCAGCGAAGGCAGCACCATCCTTCACACGTTTCCGCTGGCCTCCATCACCAAGGGCACAGCCTGAGAAGTTGAACTCTTTAATTGGTAGGAAAGATTTGGAGTGATTTACAGGGAAGGACAAAAAATAAGATACAACAGTTCGGTGAGAACAGAGAATGGATACCATAAAAGAGAAGAAAGGAAGGATGACATCAGTGCTAAGTGAGGATGCTCTGAGGTCAAAGGTTAAGTTTATCTCTGAAAAACAGCAGGATCCAAGCTGAGCAAGTGACACACACCTAAAATCCCAGGCACTCAGGAGGCTGAGGAAGAAGAATCATAAGTTCAAGGCCAGCCTTGATCTCATCTCAAAAAATTAAAAAAAAAAAAAGGTGGTACAATTTTCAAGACCAGCCTGGTCTACAGAGTCAGTTCAGTTCCAGGACATCCAGGGCTACACAGAAAAACCCTGTCTGGAAAACTAACAAACAAACAAACAAATAAATAAATAGTGGCAGGATCTAAATATGGTTGATTCTACTTCTTAAACCCTATGCGCAATTCAAAAGACTATTAAAAATCGTCTAGGGGCTGGAGAGATGGCTCAGAGGTCAAGAACACTGGCTGTTCTTCTGGTGGACCCAGGTTCAGAACTAAACCACAAAAAAATGGAACCTCACAAATGTCAGTGACTCCAGTTCTGGGGTACCCTACCCCCTCTTCCAGCCTTCACAGACACTGCATGCACATGGGACACACACATACATGCAGGCAAAACACTTATACATACAAAATATAAATAAATAAAAGCTTTAAAAATAAATAAATAGGTTTAAAATAAAAGTATTCTTTAAAAAAAATACTAAACAGGAGTTACTTTAGGTGGAGTGATTTTGACTAATTTTCTCCTGTTTTCTACTGGCTAAGTTTTATGTAATAAGCATTTATCATTCTTATTATTGAAATTTTTGTTTTTATAAAAAAAATTATTTTCATATTGACAAAGCAAAATACTTACATATATTTGTCTAGATCTATATAATTATTTTTATCTCTAGATGTAGATATAGATTTTGATTTTGATTTGACTGTTTGAACAATGGGTTGGACCTGAGGTGGTAAGGTCCAGATTTAGCAATTTTTGGTCAAGTCCAAATTTGGCAATTTTTGTTCAAGTCACATGACATCATGACAGAATTCAGAATCCCTAGGATTGATAAGATTGCTTCAGCTGACTTGCTCTAATAGACCTCCTCTCTATCTATTGCCTCTGCCTCCATTATGAACATGTAACACATGAACACACACACACACACACACACACACACAGCTCTTAAGATAACAACATGCAATTCACTAGACAAGATTCCCCCTTGTGGTGGTATTATGTTCCCCAAAATATTGTGCACCCTAATAAACTTATCTGGGGTCAGAGACAGAACAGCCACTAGATACAGAGGCTAGAAAATGGTGGCACACACACACCTTTAATCCTAGCATTCCAGAGGCAGAAATCCCTCGATCTTCAAGGCCACGCTGGAAACAGCCAAACATGGTGAATCACACCTTTAATCCCAGAAAGCGAGCCTTTAATCCCAGGGAGTGATGGCAAAAAGAGAAAGATATATAAGGCATGAAGACCAGAAACTAGAAGCATTTGACTGGTTAAGCTTCAGGCTTTCAAGCAGCAGTTCAGCTGAGAGCCATTGGGATGAGGACACAGAAGCCTCCAGTCTGAGGAAACAAGACCAGCTGAGAAGTTGGTGAGGTGAGGTAGCTGTGGCTTGTTCTGGTTCTCTGACCCTCCAGCATTCACCCCAATAACTGGCTCAGGTTTGATTTCATTAATAAGAACTTTTAAGATTCCTGCTACACCCCCTCTTCCTTCTGTCTTCCAATCTCAGTCCAGTTCCTTCTTCTTCATCATTTGTCTTTCCTGACCTGGCAAGGCCATGCTCTTATCATGCTAAAATCATGGATCAGCCCTGCACTACATCCATGCCTCTGCTCCAACATGCAAATCTGCTGGGAAAACCTTCCAAACCTTGGTAGTTCTGGCATCTTGTGTGTGCCTGCTCTCCAGCTACATTCCAAGATGACTGGTCACTGTCAAATGGGGGACTGGCTCTGTCTTTGTGAGTCCTTGAACTCCACAGTCCGACCCCTAATGGAAATAATCCCATAAGCAAACTGGTAAGGGATGGGGTGGGAGGGTTCATCGAATAAGAAACACATCAGGTTTCCCCTCCGGGGTTACAGGAACTGGGAGGCCTCCTTCGCAGCCACAGAACAAAGTCACATAAGGTATTCGGTGCTGTGGACACAGGAACAAAAAATTTAAACAGGACACAATGTCCCCTCTATCTACAGCCACACCTTTTGCTTGAAGCACTGAGCAATTGTATCCCTGAGGACCCAAACTGACCAGATGCCCAGGAAAAGATGTTTCTCCCCTCTGTAATTACCCTGTCTTCAATAAGATCTAAGTTCACTGACAAGCCCGAGTTGTTTCAGAGTCCTGAGACCTAGCAACCCCTCATCCAGGGCTAGATGTCATTGGTGAGCAATGCAGGCCAAGGCCCCATGGCAGCTGAACCCACCCTCTGCTCCAGCTAGCCATCCCAGCTGCTAGGTGAGGAAGAATAACAAGAATCGGACCAATGGGAACGCATAGCCTCCGAGGCCCGTGATGCCTTTGGAGAGAAACCTCGAATCAACCCCAGCTAGCAGCCCCCAGGAAAGTCTCTGAGAAAATGCTAATCAGATTTAGAAACTCCGGAGTCTAGACCTCCAACCAAAAGCTTCCGGTCCCTAAAAATTCAGATCCCAACTCCTCTGTCCTTCCCCATGTAGGCCACCAGGTGGCGCCAGAAACAGGGATTTCAAAACCAAAACTAAACTGGGAAGTCAGAATTTTTTGTTTATGCAAATGTTCATTCCCTACAACATTCCTCAGGGAATGGTCACCCCTCCGCTGCCACAGTCCTTCCCTCCCGCTCCCCTCCTGTGCATGCCCACTCCCTCTTTCAACTTACAGTGCCTGAAGACTGTTCAGAAGAGCTGGAGACCCAAACAAACTGGCCTTGAGACATGTGAGTAAGGCTGATGGGCACCAAGCGGGGAGGGAGGGGTCGGGCACAGGAGGCAAGCATGCTCCCACATTATTTAAAAAAAAAAAAAAAATTAAATTAAAAAAAAAAACAAGGACACAACACTATTTCCTGTCTCCACTGCACACACACACAATGCTCACAAACATGCTCCTCAGCCCTCCTCCCAAGGACCAGACTCTTAGGCATGAGCTGGGGCTGCCTCTCTTTTCTTGACTCTGGGCTCATAGCGGGGTAACAGTGAGGGGAGGGAACCCTCTGAATGAGGAGAGAATCCACTATGTGTGTTTCTTAGACTCCGTGAAGGGTTTCTCCCAGACGCCTTTGCTGGAGCCTTGGGAGCCTTTGCAAAGCCATCTTCACCCTCCGTTAGCTGACCTCGAGCCAGTCCTGTCCCAGGAAGAAAAGGAGTTGGAGGAGGAGGGCAGAGAATTGGCTTGCGGGGGACAGCATGATGGGATCATGGTGACCTCTGGACTGCACACTGGCCTGGGAGGGACGCGGATGCAGCCTCTGCAAAGGCTGCCGCTACCCCGTCACAGTGCCTCTACTTAGTCCAGAGTGGACAGAGGGGAAGGATGGGCAGTTCGATCATCCCATCTTCGCCCCACAACAGCCCAAAGGGCAAGGGTACTGCACCCTTCCAGCCCCACAAACACCCCCCTTCTCTCTTTCACAGGCAACTCTTCGCCCTCCTTCTGGCGACCCTGTTCTGTGGGGTGGGAGGCTCCCCCTACATGCCTCAGAAGCTCTATGGAGAGATATCCTCCCCTCTATACCCCAGGCCTTACCCCAACGACATTGAGACAACCACTGTGATCACGGTCCCCCCGGGGTACAGGGTGAAGCTCGTCTTCCGGCAGTTTGACGTGGAGCCTTCTGAAGGCTGTTTCTATGACTTTGTCAAGGTAGGAGTCAGGTTGGGAGGGACGGGAGAAAATGCTGGGCCTCGAGAGAAGCTGCAAGTCTGTGCTCTGAACACCCTGGACCATATGCCCGCCCCTCATCCTTGTGCAGCTCTGTAGAAACGCTGGCCTTGAGTTCCTGGTGCCACAGATGGGGCACTCGTGGGTTTTGAGACCCTCAGTGAGAATCATGGTTGGGGGGGGGGGAAGGGGGTTTGTTTTGTTATGTTTCCAGGAGATCTCACTATGTATAGGAGTCAGGAGATGGCTAGCTGTGAGACCTTAGGGAATTGCTGTGCCTCGGTTTCCCTGCATGGCTACCTAACTCACCAGGAACAGGAGGAAACATATGACAGGTTACACTCGGCCTTCAGGGAGGACAAAGATCTTGGTCCCCTCTACTCTGTACTTCAAAGGATTTCTTTCTCGGCCTCATCTTTCTATGTCCAGAAAGATAAAAGGCAGGATCCAAGCAGCGCCTGTGCACGGCCACATTCTGTCACTCAGGCAGAAGCTTGGGGGCTAATTGAATAACGTGAAAACAACAAAGAGGACCCCACAAGTCCGCCGTGTTGTCGGGGAGGGGGCAGCATTTGGTGAAGTCATCGAGGAAGATGTCCTCTGCTTTTGAGAGACTGAGGAGACTGAGGAAGAGCCGTCCAGATGCCAGGCAGCGCTGGCCAGTGCCGAGGCTGCTGGGTACCCAGCCTACTATCCTGTTCAGTTGGGTCTGTCGGGAGGCAGGGCTGAGTGTGGTTTTGAAACAATAAAGTGGAAAACAAAACACATAGCAAACAAAAACCTGGGCGTGGTGGCACACTCCTGTGATCCCCGTACTAGGGAGACTTAGAATGTTTTGGACCAGCCTGGGCTAGACAGCAAGTTCAAGGCAAGCCACTTTCTCAACACCACCGAGGAGGAAAAGGAAAGTGAGAAGAGGTGGGGCGGAGAGGAAGTGGGGGACGATGTGAGACCAAAGGTGACCAGTCTAGGAATGAAGGAATGATAAAGGGCCTAGAGACAGGATTCCTGGGGAAGGAGGGTGCAGGAAGTGGTGGGAATGGGTGAGATTGGAGCCGAGGGGGTGGGGGCAGAACACAGCAGGGAGACGACCAGGCACAGAAAGACAGGTGAAGAGTTGGTCAATGGTCGGGGCGGGAAGACAGAAGAATCACAAGTTCAACCACAGGCTAGCGCTGGCCAGATGGCTCGGGGGGACAAGTGTGACAACCTGAGTTCAATCCCAAGGATGCCCACACTCGAGGGAAAGACCTGACTCCTACAAGTCCTCTGTGCTCCATGTGTATGTCCTGAACATGTCCCCCAACACACACACACACACACACAGAAATTAATAAATGTCGCCGGGCAGTGGTGGCGCACGCCTTTAATCCCAGCACTCGGGAGGCAGAGGCAGGCGGATCTCTGTGAGTTCGAGGCCAGCCTGGTCTCCAAAGTGAGTTCCAGGAAAGGCGCAAAGCTACACAGAGAAACCCTGTCTGGAAAAACCAAAAAAAAAAAAGAAATTAATAAATGTCATCAAGGCCAGTCTAGGCTACATAGTAAGAGCCTACCCAAAAAATAAATAAATAAATAAAAATGAGTGAAGGACTGGGAAGGCCAGAGAAGCATCACCTGGAGGTGTCCATAGCAGCCAAGAGAGAGAGGAGAGAGAGAGAGAGAGAGAGAGAGAGAGAGAGAGAGAGAGAGAGAGAGAGAGAGAACCTTCACTGGCCTGCCACATGGGACCAGGCTCCTTAGCAGGACTTTTCTCATTGTTCTTCCTCCAACAGATTTCTGCTGATAAGAAAACTCTAGGGAGGTTCTGTGGGCAGCTGGAGTCTCCCCTGGGCAACCCCCCAGGACAGAAGGAATTCATGTCCCAGGGGAACAAGATGCTACTGACCTTTCACACAGACTTCTCCAATGAGGAGAATGGGACCCTCATGTTCTACAGGGGCTTCCAGGCCTACTACCAGGCTGTGGGTGAGTGGTCCCTGTGGCCAGCCCTTCTCTCTGGCCTCAATCACAAGCTCGAACCCAAGGAACCCAGAAGCCTGGCTTTCCTTATTTCTCTCAGTAAGATGGGGTCTGACGATCTGGGTTCTCCTGCCATCAAGCAGTTCCCAGAATGCATTAGGGAGGTGTGGAGGCCAGAAGTGGACTTTGTCTCCTGGCTTCTGCTACATGACTCTGAGAAAGAACCACACAGAAGTCTCTGGACAGAGGACCCCATGCCATGGCCCAACAATAGTCCGCCTGATCCCAGAAGTCTCAGGATAGGAACCTAACCCTTCCTTCTGGAATCCCTTCCAGACCGTGATGAATGTGCACCCCAGGTCAACTCAGTGGAAGGGGGCTACCAGCCCCAATGCCAACACCTGTGCCACAACTATATCGGAGGCTACTTCTGTTCCTGCCGTCCAGGCTACGAGCTTCAGAAAGACGGACGGTCCTGTCAGGGTGAGGCAGAGAGGGGGTGAGAGGGTGGGCAAGGACTGCGCAGAGGCTTGCTGGACCAACCTGAGAACCCTGACGGCCTGTCCGGTTCTGCTCTCACAGCTGAGTGTAGCAGTGGACTGTACACAGAGCCCTCGGGCTATGTCTCCAGCCTCGAGTACCCTCAGCCTTACCCACCGGATCTGCGCTGCAACTACAGCATCCGGGTAGAGCGGGGCCTCACTGTGCATCTCAAGTTCCTGGATCCTTTTGAAATTGATGACCACCAGCAAGTACACTGCCCCTATGACCAGCTCCAGGTAGGATTCCATCTCTACCACCACCGTTGGCCATGAGGCTGATCCCCAAGAGGCCAGGTGTAAAAATGTACCCTCTGGAGAAATAATATCAACCTCCCCCCCTCTTCCCATCAGATCTACGCTAATGGGAAGAACTTGGGCGAATTCTGTGGAAACCGAAGGCCTCCAGACCTCGACACCAGCAGCAATGCGGTGGATCTGGTGTTCTTCACAGATGAGTCAGGGGACAGTCGAGGCTGGAAGCTTCACTACACCACTGAAGGTAAGAGGGTTAGGCCGGAGTGTGGCTCACCGGTAAAAACTCCCGTTTAACATGCGTGAGACCCTGGGTTCAACTTCCAGCCCCCACAACTAAAATGTCTAAGCACCTCACTTCCCTGCCCATGATGAGGGAAAGTGGGGGAGAAGGAAGGATAGAGGGCTCTGATGTGAACATGCCCTCTGGCCTCACCCACAGTCATCAAGTGCCCCCAACCCAAGGCCCTAGATGAGTTCACCATCATCCAGGAACCGCAGCCTCAGTACCAGTTCCGGGATTACTTCATTGTTACCTGCAAACAAGGCTACCAGCTCATGGAGGTGAGAGGCTGGGGCTGACAGGAGAGACCCTCCCGGTGTCCCCTGGGTGCGCAGGGGGGTGAGGTGACGGCTAAGATCGTCCGGTCTTTGGTACTGTAGACTCAGATGGAGCCGTCGAGGGTGGAGCTGGAGGTGCCAGTCCACCTGCTATCCGACCTGACTACCAGAAAAGGGACTGAGGTTCAAGGTCCACCTGGGCTGCAGAGCAAGTTCAGGGCCAACCTGGGCGACTCAATGAGACCTTGTCTCCAAGTGAAAAGTAAAAAAGAAAAAAGCTGGGATATAGCTCAGTAACGGAGTGTTTGCCTAGCAGGCAGGTGGCCCCAGGTTCAATGCCCGGTACCGTAAAGAAGAAAAAAGGAATCAACTTTGCCTGCCTACTGGAAACACTCAGAGGGTTTTTAAGAAACTGATGTATGTTCCCTGCTTGAGCATCTAATTCCATCAGTCTGCTGTACAGCCTGAGCACTATTTAAAACTACCCGTGGGGTTTGGATGCACAGCCAAGATTAAACACTCCTGGACCACTTGAGTTACTCACTGCAGGAATAAGAACTGGGAAGTCGGGGTGGAGCTGTCCTGACCAGTTCACCATCACGTAGTGGCTGCTGTACCCAGCCCTCGGGGGCTCTTTGACGCACATGGGTGGTCTCACCACAGGCGCATTGCCCTGTCTCCGGCTTTGCAGACTGATGAAGAAGTACGGTTCAGTAGGTAGCAGAGAAGTAACGGTGACAGCCGGTCTCACTGGGTAGACCAGGCTAGATTCAAACTCTTTCTCCGCCTGCCTCCATTTGATGAGTCCCGGGATGACAAGAATTTGCCCTGAGGCCCATCTGACTCTTGCTCTTAAGTTATTCATGGCCAGGTGTGTTGGTGGCGGCGGTGGCAGAGGCTGAGGTGGTGGTATGTACCTGTGACGTGCACTCCGCGTGCTAAAGCAGAAAACCATGAATTTGAGGCCAGCCTGGGCTGCATACCTAGTTCCAGGCCAGCCTAGGCTATAACAAGGCCCCATCTCAAAAACAGTTCATATTTTCCAGTATTATCCAGAGACTGCCACTCTGGGGTCTTGTGTCCTCTCCACTCAGCTGCTACGTCATCATATTAAACACCTATGAAAGTGGCCAGTCGGCACTGGGATTTGAGGGGAAGCCCTTGATTTTAAGAAAACTGCAAGCCGGGCGTGGTGGCGCACGCCTTTAATCCCAGCACTTGGGAGGCAGAGCCAGGCGGATCTCTGTGAGTTCGAGGCCAGCCTGGGCTACCAAGTGAGCTCCAGAAAAGGCGCAAAGCTACACAGAGAAACCCTGTCTTGAAAAAAAACCAAAAAAAAAAAAAAAGAAAGAAAGAAAGAAAACTACAATCTCAGAGAGAATGTGGTGCAGACCTTGGCCAGGTTGGGGGGGAGGGGATGGGACATTTCAGGGCAAGAGAGTGAGAAGCCAGGGTCTGCTCCAGGAAATGGTCTTTGTTTTGATACAAAAGCACAGTCCTGACTTTTTTGCTTTTTATTACAATGGGGGGGGGCAGGTTTTTATTACAATTTGTGGAAACAGGCAAGAATCTAAAAAGGTTATCGAATCTGCCAGTTAGCTTTGCTGTGACTTTCTGCCTCGGAACTCGGTATCCTATCTACAGCCCTGGCCTGAGAGCACTAGCTAGGGAGGAGGGAGGAGCCACATCGCTCGGGCCCTGTGGTCTAAGAGATGGACGCCACACCTGTCACCACGTTCCCACCACTCCGTGTGCAGTGTGGAGACGGGGAGCTGTGTGCTGACGGTTGCTCTAATTTCCCCTCTAACAGGGAAACCAGGCGCTGCTCTCCTTCACAGCTGTTTGCCAGGATGATGGCACATGGCACCGTGCCATGCCCAGGTGCAAGAGTAAGTCACAAATTGGATGTCTCTGCCCCGAGGGACCTGCCATCCCTTAGTCTTTAGACCTGAGCTGGGAGGGAGAAAGAATTTGGACTCTCATCTGCAGGGTCTTAGCTCTTGGCTTGTCCTTTGAAGTTCGAGGCCCACCTCAGAAAGTTAAGTCCTCATCTCTGGCCTGATGGGCTCTGCCAGAACTGAATTTCACTCCGTCCATTGCAAGTGTCCACCCCACTGACCACACTTCTCTGAGGCTGAGACAGTTTACACTCTGGCGGAAGGTTCCATGCAAGTGGCCTCCTCTCCCTTACAACCCTGTGTTCTCTCTAAGTCAAGGACTGTGGGCAGCCCCGAAGCCTGACTAATGGGTACTTCCGCTACATCACCACAAGAGGCGTGAACACCTATGAAGCCCGTATCCAGTACTCCTGCCATGAACCATATTACAAGATGAAGACCAGAGCTGGCAGCAGTGAGTCTGTGCGAGGTAGGAACTGCTGCCCATCACAGTCCTCAGTCCTCTTTACGGCTCTGAGGGATGGTGAAATTTCTTCAATAGAGTCCTAGGGAGCGGCTGAAAGGTCCTAAATTACAATGCCAAAAGAGTCTAATAGGTTTGAAGAAAAGGGCATCCAAGCTGGTGGAAAACAGAGACTTGAATCTCATAAGCCATCAGCTCCATCTCACTACTTTACCAATACTACACTGCCAGTAACAACGCTGTCATCCATCAATAGCACCACCACCAGCACAGTCACCACCATAGCCACCATTGGCATACCACCATCATCATCATCGTCACTTCCAACACCAACATCCCAACACCAGCACCATCAACACCATTGGCAACACCAACATCACCACCACACTGATACTACCACCATCATTACCAACATCAACAATCTCCACTACCACATTATCATCGCCAAAACCACCATCACTGTTACCAAAACCAATTATCACCATCACGGCCATCACTATTATCATCACCACACCAACACTGTCTCCACCATACCCATTCATTGGCAATACCAATACAATCATTGCCACCAACTCTACCATTAACAATAAACAACACTACACCACCACGACAGCCACCACCGTCACCACTATCACATTCACAGGGAAATGCCCTCTCTGTTCTCCCTCTCTCAGGCTGTTGTGTTGTGATCTTTTGCATTTAGCTTTACTTAATGCTTCTCAAACTCGTCTATGGGATGGTTGGTTTATTGTAGCCATAGAGACTGAACCTAGGGCCTCTCTCAGGCACTCTTACCACTGGGCTATAGTCCCAGCCTGCCCTATTTGTTAATATTCTCCTCTCTCTCTCTCTCTCTCTCTCTCTCTCTCTCTCTCTCTCTCTCTCTCTCCTCATACTCACTGTGTAGCCAAGGATGATTTTAAACACCTAATCTTCCTGCTTTTATATCCCAAGAGCTAAGATTACAGGTATATGCCATCACATCTAACCAAAATTTCTCTTTAAATTAAAAAGAAAAAAACCCAAGACTGAGGATATTGCTCAGGGGTAATGCACTTGCCTACCATGTGCGAGTCCCTGGGCTACATCTTCAACATGGAAGGGAGGGAGGGAGGGAGGGAGGGAGGGAGGGAAGGCTTAACCTTATTTCCTAGTTTTAAAATGAAGACAACACACACTAGAAAGTGCCCCGTGTTAAGACGTGACAATACAGATAAAATACTCAGCAACAAACACAGCAGAGTGTCAGCAACAGAAGATGTAGCTCCTGCTGGGTGTGCTGCTGCACCCCCGGAATGCCACCACCTCGGTGACCATGGCAGAAGGATGGAGAGTTCAAGGCCAGCTTGAGCTTCATAGCAAATTCAAGGCCAGCCTGTGCCAAACAATGAAACCTGGAGCGAGAGATACAGGAAGGAAGACATGGCGTTATTATCCATAATCCTGCTACCAAGATGCTTCACTGATAAGCTTTGGATAGCTTCCTTCCAGTGTGTGAGTCTACTTTTACAAATAGGTGTGATCTCAAATATATATAGTTAAGTATTCTTTTTTCACTCAACAAGAAGACAAGATATGTGTGTGAAGTCTCTTAATACAGATTGAACCAGTCAACTTTGGTCCATGATGTGGTGGCTCTTTTCTCCGTCTTCCAATGTAACACCCTCAGCGTCCAATGGCCTCTGTTGCCTGCTTTTCTGGCCCATCACCTCCAGCCCTGATCCTAACTCCTTTTATTTGCAGGGATGTATACCTGCACAGCCCAGGGCATTTGGAAGAATGAAGAGGAAGGGGAGAAAATGCCGCGGTGTCTGCCAGGTAAATACTGCGTCATCCCAGGTGTGGTTTGCAGTATTGCAGGACCTTAGGAGAAGCATGGAGCGAGAAAGGAGGTCAAGTGAGGCGATCCCTGAGCTCAAAGGGAAAAGCCAGTGAGGAGGAAGGAAAAGGAATGAGAATGAAGGTCTCAGGAGAGAGGCACAGAAAATCAACTAGTCCTGAAGGTGTAGTACTCACATAGACAAGGAATCGGAGAGTCAACTCAGGGAAAGTCCGGAAAGGGATAAATAAGGATGAGGAGAGTTAGCCAAGAATGGGCTATAGAATGCACTGCAGGAACAGGAAGATAGAGGCGGGAAACAGCAAAAGAGAGAAGAAGGGCGGGACCTGGGGCTGACTGGTCCTCATTCCCCATCTCTGCAGTGTGTGGGAAGCCTGTCAACCCCGTGACACAGAAGCAACGCATCATCGGAGGGCAGAAAGCCAAACCCGGCAACTTCCCCTGGCAGGCGTTCACCAACATCCATGGGCGAGGGGGCGGGGCCCTGCTCGGAGACCGCTGGGTCCTGACCGCAGCCCACACCATCCACCCCAAGGAACACAACAGACAGAACGACACCAGTAAAGATGTTTTCCTGGGCCACATAAACGTGGAAGAGATCACAAAACTGGGACATCACCCAGTCCGTAGGGCCATCATCCATCCCGACTACCGCCAAGATGAACCCAACAATTTTGAAGGAGACATCGCCCTGCTGGAGCTGGAAAACCCTGTCCCCCTGGGTCCCAACCTCCTCCCCATCTGTCTCCCTGACAATGAGACCTTCTATGATGAAGGCCTCATGGGTTATGTCAGTGGCTTTGGGATAACAGAAGATAAAATTGCTTTTAACCTCAGGTTTGTCCGTCTGCCTGTAGCTGAACGAGAGACATGCCAGAGATGGCTCCAGACAAAGAAGAGTAATGATGTGTTTTCTCAAAATATGTTCTGTTCAGGGGACCCAAGTCAAAGGCATGATGCCTGCCAGGGGGACAGCGGAGGTGTTTTTGCAGTTAGGGACCGAGATCATGATACCTGGATTGCCACAGGCATCGTGTCCTGGGGCATTGGGTGTGGTGAGGGATACGGCTTTTACACCAAGGTACTCAATTATGTTGACTGGATCAAGAAAGAGATGGGAGAGGAAGACTGAACCCAGAGTTCACTAGGTCAGAATCCAGTGTGTAGTGTATCAGAAAATTATCTGACTGATTGTTGATAACCACCGTGATCCCATATTAAAATCACAGACTGTGTAGAATAAACTGTCTTTTCTATAGCCCCATCAACATTCTGGCATTTTGATTTCAACATAGACTATGTAGCCCAGGCTGTCCTAAAATTTACAGTCCTCCTGCCTAAGGCTCAGGGTTAACAGTGTCAGGTGGAGAGATGGCTCCCTGGTAAGGAATGGACTGTTCTTGCAGACAACATAGTTTGATTTCTAGCACCCCGTCACATGGCTCACAACTGCCTCTAACTCCAGCTCCACAGGGGGCCCAAGGCCTTCGCCTCTTCAGACACCTGCACATACCTACACACACATATATAGTTAAAGTACTACTCTATATTTTGTCTTGATTGTATGACACGAAGAAAGTCCTGGTTTTTCTTGATCATATTTAAAAATTAAAAGCTTTTTAAACACATCAGCTTCTTGTCACTAAATTCTCCTTGAGGAAGAATGATGTGAATTTGTGTCTCCAAGTTCAATCAGTTATCATTTGAGACAAGTTCTTACTATATTGTCTGTTGAGACCAGGCTGGTCTCAGATTCATAGGCCAAGAAGTCCTCCACCCTCAGCCTCCCGAGAGCAGAGGCTACAGTTGTGTGCCACCATACCCAGCTGACTAAAAATATTTTGAAATAAACAGTGTTCTTCCTCTTAAATTTTTATTTAACATATATGGGCATTTTGCCTGTGCACCACATTCACGCAGTCCCCCAGACACCAGAAGAAGGCACTTGATCCCTTGAGACCAGAGTTACACATGCTTGTGAGCTGCCACATGGGTGCTGGGAACCAACCCTGCATCCTCGGCAAGAGTAGCCAGTGCTCTTAACCACTGAGCCATCATTCTAGGCCAGTCTTTCCTTTTTAAGGTGATTATTTCATGTATTTTGTTACAATAATGAAAAGCTGATTAATGCACTTATTCACTGGTCTATTTGCCTAGGACTAAAGGAAACTGATGATTCTCCAGGTACGGTACACATCTGTAATGCCAGCATTCAAGAAGTAGAGGCAGGAGGATCACAAATCCAAGGTCATCTTGGCTGCATAGCTAGTTTGAGGCCACCATAAGCCACATAAAACCTGCTTCAAGGAGGAGAGAAAAAGGAAGAGAAGGAAAAAGTTCTAAAGGGAGGCTCTTCAAAACTCAGGAAGTAAACAACTCGAAAGCCTCAGGAAGTCCCTGAAGTTGACCAGATGAACCAGGCTTCTTCCTCCCCAGGTTATACAAGCAATGGGGACAGCTGAGGCTGCTCAGACCAGCCACGCTGCTTGGAGGAGGCTCAGCTGAGCAGAGTTGCCTGCAAGTCCTGCAGTGAATCCTGGGTTGCAGCTTTCATGAGCTGTCACTCATGCTGGGGTAAACTGTCAGCAATGCAGCTGCTTTTGAGTCATTCTTATTCCTGTAAGCACCCCCAGTCCTATACCCCTATATAAACTCATTAGTTCATCAATTAGACTTGCAGGATATCCTGACTTTGGTCTGTCATTAATTCCCTATTTAGGGAGAGTAAATGTTGGTGCACTCCCAACAATAGTACCATACAAGTCCTTCCTTGCCAAAGCTCTCCCCACTTAGAAGGACCTTGGCCTCATACTTAAGAACAAACAATGCAGCCGGGTGGTGGTGGCGCGTGCCTTTAATCCCAGCACTCAGGAGGCAGAGGCAGGCGGATCTCTGTGAGTTTGAGGCTAGCCTGGTCTATAAAGCGAGTTCCAGTAAAGGTGCAAAGCTACACAGAGAAACCCTGTCTCGAAAAAACAAAAAACAAAACAAAAAGAACAAACAATGCAAAGAAGGCTGGAGAGATGGATCAATGGTTAAGAGCACTTGTTGCTCTTGCGGAGAACCTGGGTTCAATTCTCACACCCATGTGGTGGCTCACAACCATCTATAACTCCAATTCCAGAGGATCTGATGCCCTCTTCTTGCCTCCACAGGCACCAGGCATGCATGTGGTGCACAGTCATATATTTAAACATTCCTGTATATAAAACAAAAATAAATACATCTTTTTCAAAAAATAATTTTAAAAAGGACAGTATACAGGTGGCTTTGGACAAACTTGTTTTTTCTTTTTACATTTATTTATTCTCTCTTCTCTCTCTCTGTCTCTCTCTCTCTCCCCCTCTGTGTGTGTGTGTGTGTCTGTGTGTGTGTGTGTGGTGTGTGTGTGTATGTGTGTGTATGTATGAGTGTGTATGTGTGTGTGTATGTGTGTGTATGTGTGTATGTGTGTGTATGTATGTGTGTATGTATGTGTGTGTATGTGTGTGTATGTATGTGTGTGTATGTGTGTGTATGTATGTGTGTGTATGTGTGTGTATGTGTGTGTGTATGTGTGTGTATGTATGTATGTGTATGTGTGTGTGTATGTGTGTGTATGTGTGTGTATGTATATATGTGTGTGTATGTGTGTGTGTATGTATGTGTGTATGTGTGTATGTGTGTGTATGTGTATGTGTGTGTGTATGTGTGTATGTGTGTGTATGTGTGTATGTGTGTGTGTGTATGTGTGTATGTGTGTGTGTGTGTGTGTGTGTGTGTTCATTTACCATGGCACATGTGTAGTTACAGAAACAAGCAGATGCCATAACAGGCTGCTCAGTCTTCTCTGAGAGATCAAGCCTCAATTTCAGTTTCCTGAGACTGAACAAGCAGTTTCTGAAGAGCCACAAAAAAGGACAATGTCCAACATCCCCCAACAGCAAGGAGGAGGCCTGGTACATGCAGTACCAGATGAGGCCAGAGCCACAGTCAGCACTCTCTCTCTCCTGAAAATCCTGCCTAGCTATCAGCCAACCAGCGTTTCATTAACAATGAGAACAACACATTTTCACAGTGTACAGAAGGATTATTCTACAGCATTTCCCCCGTTTTGTCTAAATTAAAAGGAAGGATTATACAACAAAAACAGTTATCAAATAAGAATTACAGTTACAATATCCAGTCCATTTGTTTTGTTGTTGTTGTTGTTGGGTTTTGGGGGGGTTTGAGACAGGGTTTCTCTGTATAGTTTTTCTGCCTATCCTGGATCTCGCTCTGTAGACCAGGATAGCCTTGAACTCACAGAGATCTACCTGCCTCTGCTTCCTGAGTGCTGGGATTAAAGGTGTGTGCCACCATCATCTGGCTATCCAGTCCATTTGTATTTGGCAAATTTAAAAAATATATTCTATTATTTATCTTATCTTAGTGAATCTAAAGTCTTATACCTAATTTACCTTTTTGTCATAACTAAGGAAAACTTTAAGTCTAATTATCTAGCCTTTACCACCATCAAAGACCTCAGAAGGGTGAAATGTTACCTAACATCAGGGACATCTGGCTGCCTGGACAATCGCCCTTGCTTCTTCTGTAACTTTGGGGCACCCAACTTTGGCCTATAGGCCTGGTATATCTGACAGATATTTCTGAAAAGTAATATTTTGAAGTATTGTCCTACTTTGTCTTGACAAAGTTTGGCAGTCACTTTTTTTGCATCCTGAGTCCAGTTTGGATGGTAACTGTCAGCAAATGAGCAAGGGTAGTTTCTTTAGCCAAATGACTAGCTTTTTCCATAATGAAAATAAACTCCATATGAAGTTTCTTTGATGCCTATCATCCTCTTTTGAAGCAAATTGGTTTTATCAGGAGCAAACATGTCTCATTGTCAAGAAAAGCCTTATGTTATTAAAACTTTTT